GCCAGTGGTTTCAATGTCTGCTATGGCCACTAGCAGCAAGCGGTCTGCTTTTCTCTGGAGCCTGATGAGACAGAGGACCTCGAACTGGAGCTGCAACAAGTCAGCTAGTAAGTGGTGGGGTTAAGGTTATGCTGAGCTGAGGGTTAAGCCTGGCAGGAGACATCCATGTCCACAGCGCTCCTGGTAGAGCTTTTCTTGGGCTTCTCTGCTGAGTGTCCTCTGGGTACAAGTCAGTTCCTAAGAGTGTGTGTGTATGTGCACACGTGTGTATCTGGTATGTCCCCCGCCCCCATGCCCCCAACAGTTTTTCGTGAATGAAAAGTTAAATCACTGTTCATCAAAGGAAAAACTTTTAAGGTGCATGCGTAAATCTCAATTTTTTTTATTCTTAGTAGGTAGCTTCCTTTCTTCCCACTGCCTTTTTTTGTCCTAAACAAATAAACCTTATGCAGGTGATTTTCTATTTCTTTGTGACTCTCCTTGTTCTCATCTGTGAACACTTTGCTGTAAGTAAATGTTGCTTTCCCACTCTTCTAACCTGTTCTTTTTTTTTTCTCCTTCTTGGAGTTAGTTTGATAGGGGAGAAAGTATAACTGACTGACGGCTTTGAAAATGTCAAGCAAAATGAATCTAGTGTTTAACCGAGTTGAGCTAAAACGTGACTACTTGAAAGAAGTTTGTAAAACATTTGAAAGACTTGTTGATCTGAGCAGAAGGGGCTCAGGGAGCTGTCACGCCATAAGCCAACCTCTGGGATCACCTTCAAGTTGACATCCGTCAACATTTGTAGAGCTGACTGAACCCCGCTCCTTTTAAAGACTTAGGGACCATAATCCCTCAGCTAGATCAGATGGCAAAACAGATATTGGAGGTAGATTTCCAAAGTAGTGTTTGGAGGATTTTGCTGTATCAGAGTTTTGCAGGGCAGTCGAATGCTCAGTGAAAAGCTGTTGCAGCTTGTATTGCACTGAGCACTTACTTCTGGGAGACTTCTGTCCTTTCTAGCAAAAATTCTCCATTTTGAGAGGTGAAAAGTGTTTTGTTTTCTCCTTTAAACTCTTTGTTGACACACCTTCTGGAGAAGGGGCTTGCTGAGAAATCAGACAGGTGTTGCCTGATGGTAGCTGGCATATGTATATTTTGATACTGAATTACCAGCCAGGGTGCCAAGAGAGGGTAATACAGTATGTCTGCACAGGCAGGTGGAGAGGGCAAGCTGCAGGCACTGCAATGTTTTCTTCTTTCCTTTTAAAACATATTACTAAGCAAAAAGCTAAATTCACTGTTGTTCTTAGCAATCTCTTGAAGTCTGCTTATTTGGGCACGACATGCGGCACTTGAACCCCAAAGAAAAGTCCGAGCCAAAGCTCTTTCCTCTCCCTCTCAAATGGATAACACATCACCAGGCTCTGCTCTTTTGTTTTAAATAACTTTGTGGTCCGTATATCTGGTAGAAGCAATGTTTGCACTCCTCAGGCTGTTGGCACAACTTTTGTTCCTGCTGCTAGATAATGACTATTGTCATCTTGTGAAATGATAGCCTTGTTGATTGGGTCAAGCTCTTTTTGGTATTTTTGTTCCGAATTAATTTAGTTTTCCTACTGAAACAAGTAACAAGTGCATTGATTAATAGTCGTGCTCTGGATCTCTGGGAACTGCTTGTCTCGTGATCTTACCCTTCGTACAGTGAGCGTCTGCCAGTTCCCATAGGAAAATGGTGGGCAAGGGGGACTGTCACCTCCTGCGAGGTGGGGCGGTTTGGGGACCACCGGAGGGAGGCACCTCTGCCAAGAGGGGTGAACCTTGCTTGCAGGCACTCTCTGAATGCACAGACAGCTCCTGCCTCAGGTTTTTTTTCTGAACCTTACTTGCTTTGAAATCTATATACAATATCCTGTCTTGCTCCGTGGATATAGTGATTATCACTGATTCAGTACGAAGTCACCATGACCTAGTTGTTCGCATCTATTTATGCCAATAGATGGCTGGGCGTCAGGTTACCCACGATTGCAGCAAAGTTGGCAGGGTGGGAAACTCAAGCCCCTTACTGTCTGACAGCAGGTACCCCATGGACAGATTTACACCGGTGTTAAATGACCAGCCGCTCAGTGATTACACGCTTGCGGGCGGCTGTGCCTGGAGTAGATGTGAAATTGTGGCTGTATGCCATGTCCCTGAGCTCTGTGTAGTGCCCGTGAGGCTTGAACTCCTTTTGCAGTCGGGTGACAAAAAGGCGGCACAGCCCTCTTGCTGTCTCGTCCACCTCTGCTGGGAACTGCAGCTTGCCTCCCTGTGCCCTGACCATGCCCTGAAGCAGAGGTGGACTCCTGGTCACCCTCCTTTTCTGACATGCCAAGTTCAAGGTGTTGGCCAGAGCCTGGAGCTCTTGAGTCTGCCTTGTGTTTTGGGGACATATATGTATTTCTTTGGTGGACAGGCTTGTTCATCATAACCCATTAGCCCTTGGCCGTTTGCTTTCTGTGAATTTAAGCTGCAGATCCGATGCCTTCCTTGCTGGTTGTAGCCAAAGGGATCTGATAGTTGGGGTGCTGAAGGGTGGACGAGGAGCAGATCCCTTCCTTTGCTGGAAGAAGGGCCACACTGTTTGATCTGGGGCCTCGGTATTCATGCTGGTGTTGGGCACCTCTTCTGTCCTTCTGAAAGCAGTGATTTTTTTTTTTTCTTCCCTTCTTGTAACCCCAGCTTTCTGTCTTTGAAGATATTATACATAAAAATACAGTCAACACCAAGACTCCTGATCCGTGACTGAGGGGCATGTATCTCCTTCCATTTGTTCAATTCTCCAAATGCCTGCAGACACTGGACACGTTGGCTCCTGGTGTGTGCTGTGCCCTCCCTGCGCCGTCGCACTTCCATATTTATGCTTTCATTTCGGCCCATTGCCTTTGGGTGCCCAATTTCTTTACAGTCCAATGATGTTAAGGCATCCAAGCAATTAGTTGGCTCTTTGAGATTTTTGAGGCTCTCTGTCCTTGAAACCTTCATAATGCTATGCACAAACTGATGTGTTGAGGGAAACAACACTTTCTAAATTTTCTTCCTCTTTCAAATGTAAGTGATTCTTTTCCTACCTCTTGAGATGAAGAGACAATATAGTGATCTCACTCTTACCTTCAATAAGGAATTGCTTTTTAATTAAAAAACAATAAGGAATTTCAGGTTACAAAGACGTATGATATAAATCACCATCTAGATCTGTTTCGCAACTTTTTTTTTAATTGTTTGGCATGTTCCCCATTTCCGCGGGCTGGGTAAATCCTTTGTGGGTTTAATCTCTAGCCTGCAGGCACATAAAATACATTGCACAATTTGGCCTTTGCATTTTAAAGATTTTTTTTTTTTTTTCCTTAGCTTAAATTACCTGTAGCATCTTCTCTGCCATATGGCAGGGTTGTGTTGAGTGAGGAGGGAAGGGACCAGCTTGCCTTATTTTTAATCCCTCTCTCCTCCCTAGTGTCTCTCCCAACTTTGTTTTTCCTACGTTGGCAATGTTTACGCTTTGAAATGCAAATAATCCCTGAATTTTGTTAGCTAATCCTTATGCTGCCACATCAGCCACTACCCACCCATGCATGCACCAGCTCTTCCCATGCCATCAGAGTGGATGGCCAAGTTGTGCTCTTGACCAGTACAAACCTGTCAGTGCTCTGTTTGAACAGTTGGGACCAGGGCCGTATCGGCCGTGGCTGCTAGAATGTTTTTTGAGAAAACAACCACCTTGGGGCTTTCACTTTTCTTTCTCTCCAAGAACCGAAGAGATGGAAGTGGGGAAATGCCAGCAGTTCCTGTGGGCTACATGGTTAGAGTTACTGGGAGAGTTCCGTGCTCACAAATGTCTGAGCACTAGGAGAAAACTGACCTGCCATATTTTGGAACAGCCTTGTACAGCAGAGGAGACTGGAGAGTCTCCTTCATGGGGGACATGCAGAAAAATGGGTTCAGGTTACGCTGTACTAAACCGCATAAGAGTTTCCTTGCAACCATTCCTGCTAAGCACATGCCCTTGTTTCAGTAAGAGTTTTTGAACAGAAACCAATGACTTCAGTCCATGCCTCGATGTTTTGCTGAGTAAAGGTTTCCAGATGTGAACACACTTCAGGAAAATATTATACCAGTGTTACTGCTTTAGTGGGGAACATCCTAAAAGAGGGAATCTAATATGCTCCAAATTAGCACAGTGAATAAGAAAATATTGTTCTGCTCCAGGTGTTCATTGCATGGTCACAAAATCCCTTTTGGAGCCAGCTACTGGGCTGTGCTCTAGATCTCACCATGGACCTGGTCTTCGGGCTGTTCAACTCTTCTGACCGTTGATTATTAAAAAAAAGAAATCTTTTCTTACTTTATTTTTTAGCTCTTTCATAGACATAATGCTTTGAGTTTAGAAGTGTGGAGATTGCTACAGAGGTGGTCAGCAGAGGTATGACATGCTTTTAAAAGATGACTGGAATGTCAGATTTGGTACAACTCAAATTGGTCAGGGTCTTGCTTTCAAGTACTGTTCAATTCCAAGGTTCATGTTTTTATTTCAACCCTCTGCAAAAGTAGGAGGGCTTCTTGTAAAGTGTTTCATCCTGTTTTCTATGTGTGGTTTCCAGTGTTTCCAGGATTACGGGGTGCTGTGAGAAGAATAGTGTCCTTTTTGTTAGGTGGGTAATGTGTGTCCCTTGGAAGAAGGGGTGTGTGCCCAAGAGAAATAAAGACTGTCTTTATTCATGTAAAAGCAGTGCTCTTTATCTGAAGATTTTTTGCCTTTGGGAAAGCTAAGACGTAGCTTTATATTTTGCTATTCTAATAACAGGTAAAGGTCCAGGGTTTTTGCTGCTTGTCTGGAAGTGTGCCTGTTGTGTGAACAAGTGCAATGCACATGCAGTAGCTGGTGCATTCAGTTATGTCTGCAAACCCATTTCCATCCTTCTGGCATGCCTCCGTCTCTAGTTGAACATCCTGACTCTCTCTTGCTCTTTTCCCCCATCCAGTATTCCACCGAACTGAAAAAGCTGTACTGCCAGATCGCCAAGACATGTCCCATCCAGATCAAAGTGATGACCCCGCCACCTCAGGGAGCTGTCATCAGGGCTATGCCAGTCTACAAGAAAGCTGAACATGTCACCGAAGTGGTCAAACGCTGCCCGAACCACGAGCTGAGCCGGGAGTTCAACGAGGGTAAGGAGGGCAGCGCTTTGTTGTCAGTCCCTCTCCAAAGCTGCCTGGCTGATGAGTGGCCGGTGTGGGGATTTGACGGCAGCTTCGCAGTAAACCCGCTGGAAGCAGACCTCCCTGCAACATCTTGTGCAGCTTTTTATCTCCTGTGCTTCGCAGGAAGCTTCATACTATACTTTAGCTGTCCCTGTGCAAGCGTGTCCTTGGGAAGAAAATACCGAAATAAACTTCACGCCTGCCCAGGTTGGATGGACGTCTGTCCCCGTGGCAGGCCGTGCCCTTCTGGCAGCCTGTCCCTGCTCTGCTTTTGCTCCCGCAATGAGAAGCAGCTGTTCTTGTGCTCAGGAATGAGCTTCCACGTCGCTGGGACAGGGATCTAGTAACAGGATGCAATATCATCTCCAGTCCTTAATCCACGCCTCAAAGACGGAGGGGCTGTTTATCTCTAGCAGGATAACACTAAGTGCCAGCATCAACTGTAGGCAACCTTCCTGTACATTTAACACTATTGGTTCGGTATTAATGTTTTAATCTTTTCCTTGCTTCTTCTCATGTTAGTGAAGTAGCGGCTGTTTTAAAAATGTCCTGGGGTTTTCTGCAAACTCATGGGCTGGGCTCTGTTTTTGCCTTGGCCACTTCAGTTCACATAAGTTCAGATGAGCATCTGTTTTATTCTGCATGCATTATTTATCTCCTACTGTAAAAAAACCCGGTTGGTGTCAGTTAGCAGAATGTCTTAGAAGCCTGGATACCTTTGCTGGTTACAGTGCAGCCAGCTAGACAAGCCCCGAAATAAGCAAGGACTTGGGTGTGTAAAATCAGAGTGGAGTGAGACAGTTCTTTGAAATAGTTTTTCATATTAGCAATTGCTTTTCTGACAGAGCTGCATTTTTTGAGGGTTGATACCTGGTTCAAAAATGGAGTTTTAAGAAAGAAAAAACCTAAAACTACAAATTCTTATTCTGAAATGATTATTTCTCTAGAAATATGCTGTATTTCGAGTAAGAAATGAACAGTTCAGACACAAAACAAATTCTCAAGATGAACCCGTAAAAGGCTTCTCTCATCAGAATTTAGTTGTATGTTGTAGAAACACTGAAGAAAATTTGCAGGAAGGAAACTATTTTTATTTTTTTTTTTAATTATTGGAAAGGGGCCTAGGAGCAAAGAAGATAATGTTCCTTTCTGCTGCTGCTGCAAGCAAGCGTGATTTTTCAAGTTGACCATTAATTAAATGCATATTTCTCTTGCTGCTTGAATCTTGTTTAGCTCCTTAGGATCAAGACTGATAGGAGGGAACAGAAGAGGGCTAGCAATTGATGGGGAAAAGAGTAGGAATTGAGACTTGAAGGAATTTGCTTTGTGTATGCATTAGGGGGAGGAAAAGAAAGGCTTTTCAGCTGGTGTGAAAATCCACATGGAGTTACCTGCTGGAAGAGTTGCTGTGAGCTGCCATTCAGTTGACATTCGGGCTAGCTTAACTCTGGGATCTCGGGAAGCCCACGTTCAGGTTTACTCGCAGGTCTCCAGTGTGAGCTTGAGGAAGCCTGTGTTGCCTTTGATGTCTGGCAGCAGGAACCTTGGGAAGGGATGCTTTAAGGGCTGGGAGGCACGCGTGTGCTCTGATAGACCTCTGGGGCCAGGTGTGGGTGTTTCCCTTGGTAGAAGATCTTGCTGCCCTGCGCATGACCTTGCTTCACTGAACGGTGTCTCTGGTTTTTTTTGCCTCCTTGCCCTTGCAGGGCAGATTGCGCCTCCGAGCCACCTGATCAGGGTGGAAGGGAACAGCCATGCTCAGTACGTAGAAGACCCCATCACTGGGAGGCAGAGCGTGCTGGTCCCCTACGAGCCGCCCCAGGTACGTTGTGAGCTCAGGGTGGTGGCATCCCGGCACACAAAGGGGTGGGGGCTGTAACCCTAGTTGAAGGAGTTGGGACCTTGTGCTTTCCCCATCCTCGTCACAATGAAGCCCTTCTTCCTCTTTGTCAGAAATGAGCTTTTAAACACCCTCTTTATCCCTTGGGAGCAAGAGTTCTTCATTTCTTTTGAGGAAGCCTTGTGGTGGGGCCTATTTCATGCTAGTCTGATTGCAGCACAGTTGTGGAAGTACAAGAGGTGAGCCTGGAAAAAGCAGAGCTTTTCATCCACCTTTTCTTCTGTTCATCCTCTTCGTCTCATCCAGGTTGGTACGGAGTTCACGACAGTCTTGTACAACTTCATGTGTAACAGTAGCTGCGTGGGAGGGATGAACCGTCGCCCGATCCTCATCATTGTCACACTGGAAACCAGAGAGTAAGTAGTGCATCATGCGTGTAGCCCTTTGCTTGAGAGGTGGCTTCCTGGCTCCTCTTCTGCTCGGTGCAGCATTGCATATCCATAGGGACCGTTTGATGTAAGGGGGCCATGGGATATTTTTCAAATCTTTGCAGGTGGGAGTTGCACAACACCTGGGGCATCCTGATGGGGAAATGGGAGGCTTGGGTCTGTCTGTGCATAGTCTGGTGTGAAGTTGAGGGACGCTGCTGGCCCGCATCTGAGCTGCCAGCTGACGTTTCCTCTCACCCCTCTTCCCAGCGGGCAAGTCTTGGGCCGCCGATGTTTCGAAGCCCGCATTTGCGCTTGCCCAGGCAGAGATCGCAAAGCAGACGAGGACAGCATCCGCAAGCAGCAAGTCTCCGACAGCACAAAGAATGGTGATGGTACGAAGCGCCGTAAGTAGCTGGCAGAGCTGGGCAGATTGCAGATCGTGCTGTCACCGGTTGCAGGTGTGACCCTGGCGCTTGTCCTGCGGGGACGGAGCAGTGCCGTGCATGGGCTTGGAGGCAGGAGCGCATTAGGTGTCGGTTCTCCCAGGGTGAATCAGCCTGAAAAACGAGCTGGTGTTCACAAAACAGCATTTGACAATCTGCTTTTGCGGGCTCCCTTGCAGTGCTGTCTGTGTTAGGTTAGCCCTGCTAGCGGTGGCTGGAGGGGGTGTTTATTTGCCGCCCTCAAGGTACATGGCTGGGACTCTGTAACCACTTTTTGAACCTTTACTGCTTGTTTGGGACTGTGCTGTCATTCTCTGCTCCTTCTAGCTGTGTCTTGTGCTGTGGCATGCGTCTTCCAGCCACAGGGATCTAGATTAAGACTGCATGTAAACCCTGCTGTGCACAGAGGTGCTCTGGCAAGCGGCCTCTCTGTGCTCTAAAGAGTGCAACGTACTCATCAGACATGCAAGATGTGGGAACCCACCTTTAGTTTCCTGCATACGCTCGATGATGGCACTAGGCTTAACAGCAAGGCAGCAGGTTTTAACAGGAGGCAGATTGGAGGGGGGCTGTGTTTTCACGGTGAATTCTGCATGCTCCTTGCCTGTTGTCTCGCCTTCGTGGATCACTGATCCACTAACAGCTCAAGAGTGCTGTAATACCAAAGCTCGCAGTCTTTCCTGCAAAGAGCCAGTGCTTGTTCTAGGTATGGCTTGCTGGGGTTTTGCCATATATCCAGCGCTCCTTGGCTGATGTGTTTCCCCAAGCAGTATGGCCACCCAACGTCTGCAAAGTTGTGTCTGCCTTATGGAGCCAGGAGCTGCAAGCACAGTTCTGGGGTGGCTCAGGCAGAGACCCTTTCAGAGCACTGCAGATCTGAAGATCTGAGCTGGCCATGCATTTCATGTGTCTCTTGTATCTCTCTTTTTTTCTTTTTTTTTTTTCCCCCCCCCCCCCCTTTTTTTTTTTTTTTTTTTTTTTTAATGGGATGCTTTTGGGGTTTCACTTCTAGCTTTTCGACAAGGAACTCATGGCATACAGATGACATCTATCAAAAAAAGACGTTCCCCAGATGATGAGCTCTTATACTTGCCGGTGAGTTCTCTCTGTCTTTGCGTTTACCCTGTGTTTAGTATCTTTCTCAGTGACTTGAGGCAAGTCAGCTGCTCCCCTAGATGTCAGAGGGAACTGAGGATGGGGATGGGATGTGGAAATTTTTAGGGTTTTTTTTAATCCCCAGAGCTACCTATTTTAAATACATATTCAAAAAAAAAAAAAAAAGAAAAATCCCATTAGCTGCTGACTGAGAGTGGCTTGTGCAAGGCATATGAGAATATCCCAAGATATCTGTCTGTCCTGGTGGAAACATTGTCTTAGAGACCTAACAGGGTTTTCTCCTCTGTCATTTCTGGGTCTGTGGCACTTGAGCTTTCTCTAGAGGTAATGGGTGTTATCTTACAAAGGTGGATGCTTCTGTGGCTTTTATATGTGTTATCATTGTAATGTAGTGATAGAAGTGAAATACACACTGTATTAAATGTAGGATCAGAAAGGGCAAGAAGTATCTGTAATTGGCCATTCAGCTGCTTCCCTGTGAGACACATTTAGTTGGATAAATCACAAACCATGGTGTGCTTAGAGGAGAAGGGAGATCCAAACCCAACACCCAAATTCAAGTACAATTCTTCCTCAGGGCATGTAAGATTCAGCACCAGATCAGCTTACATCCGAGGCAGGTAAAGACATTTTCTGTCTAACAGATTGGATCAGAATATTGCTTTTGGTTGGCACAGATATACATTGAGCCAGATGACAACCCCAAGATTTTCATTAGCCTGTAGTGTCAGATTATCGCTCTTCAACATTATCTGCTGTACCTTTAGCACAAGGCTTAGCGGTTTTATTGCGTATGCATAGTATATAAACAGAGTATTTGCATCCTGCTGTGGTTGTTTACTTGACTTTATCTAAAACTTGCTAAGGTGGCTGTCACTAAGGACTATACATGCAGTCCTTTTAAGGCTTTTCTTTTCCCCCCTTTCCTTTTCCCATGATCCAGGTGAGGGGACGGGAGACATATGAAATGCTACTAAAGATCAAAGAGTCCCTGGAACTAATGCAGTACCTTCCCCAGCACACAATTGAGACCTACCGGCAGCAGCAGCAGCAGCAGCACCAGCACTTGCTCCAGAAGCAGTGAGTATGAGTGTGCTTGCAGTGACCTGTGCAGTGAGGGTGCTGGGGAAGGGGGAGAGAGGAGAGAGACACAGAAGGCTTCTGCGCAGTTGTTTGTAGGGACGTGGTGCTCAACCAAGAGCCAAGCACTTGTAGAGTACTGCATTGGCAAAATCCTTTCCAACAGCATAGATGCTTGTTAAGCCTGTGGTCAGAACTGGTAGAAATCGACACCAGGAGTTCGGCCAAAGCCAAGTTTCTGTACAGAACTTGAGAGACTCCAAGTTTGAGATCCAGATTTCACGACCTGTGTGATGGGACAAAGCAGTCTTCCTTCCCCAAGTGCATGTCCTGACTGCTTGCAAGGTCGCTCTCTAGTCTCTGATCCCACACAATTCAGCTTTTGGCCTTGGAGGGTGAATGAGGACATGGTCAGTGCCTCGTTTCTGACTTCTAGCCAGAGCCCAAGGCGCAGTGCAGCAAGGCAGTGCCATTGAACAGCCTGCAGACAAAAACCTGCTGCATGTGTGTGCCCGAGCTGGGGAGCACAGGGTGGGGGTGCTCTTCTCTCGTCTGTTCTATGGGAATGGCAACAAATGCAGAGCCATCTCCATGCCTTCTCCAAGGCATCCATCTGAGCACCTTGCCAAGAGCACGTGAGGCTGGGACTGCGAGCACTGGCTTAGCTGAGTGCTTGGACCCCACTGCTACACATCTCTGGTGCTGTTGGAGGGCTGGTGTCTCGGTGGGATGTAAACACTGTAGGTTCCTCAGCTATAAAACAGGAAGCTGGAAGTTAGGAGCGAGGGTGAAACACCTAAGAATTCCTTTGTGACCAGTGGGCACTTCAAAGAAAGACTCTACGCGTGCCCTTTTAAAGTGTTTTTAAAAACTGTACTTTGTCACTGACCCTCCACATTGCGCATGAGAAACTTTCCATCCAGGCAGACGTAGTCCCTATCTGAACTTAGCTGGCAGGGCTGCACCAGAGTTACTTTGGGTGGTGTAAGTGCCAGGAGGATGGGGTGAAGAAGGGCCAAATAAGTGTCTGGTTTCCATTTTCCCTTCTGTTCCCCAAGCTTTGCAATTACAGAGACTGGGTCAGTGAATGACTTTCCAGACAGACAGTAAGCAGTATCATTCATGGACATTGCTTCACCTGCTGTATTGGGTGACAGAAAATAGCCACCCAGGCTGTAGGTAGCCGCCAGCGGTAGTGCTTAGGATCTCGTGCGTTCCTGCTGGTAAGCTCACGCGTCAAGAGGCTGTGGGTATAACTCATTCCTCTGCGGAGGTTAGCACGAGGCCAAGGCACCACATAAGTCCCACTTGAGCCTGTAGGGATTTATTTCGGTGCCTTGGCCTTGTCTCAGGACTTCTGCAATACCACGGCTTTCTGCCAGATCTCTGCATGTGTTCACATTTCGACCTGTGTGTTTTTAGTGTCAGCTGGAGTCTTGTGGAGGTGTGAAAAAAGCCTTGTGCCAGAATGGCTGGAGCATCCAGGGGCTCTGAACTCTTTTTTTGGGGCACTTAAAATTCTCATTATTGTTATTTATTTTTATCAGTCATCTGCACTGTTTGTATATCCTATAGCTTGTATTTACTAGCTCCTAGGCATTGCGGCCTTTGTGCAGTCAGCTGCGTGTCTTCAAAGCTCCACCTGAACTACAGCCATTTCAGTTGAGAAATGGTTTTGTAAGCAGAAATGGACGGCAGCAGATGACAGCTTTCACTTGGTGCTGACAGTTGCTTTGCCATAATTACTGTTTTCATTCTTCTTATATCAATAGGATGGGTTCCTGGCAACTGAGGTTGGTATTTGTGTTACCTTTAAGACCAGCATGTATATGTCCAGCCATTTAATTTTATGAAACTTCTTTCGGCATGTCTCCTGGCACTTGTCCAGTTATATACTCATTTTTCTCAGCTGCTGAGTGTGCTCAGATACTGGGGAGAAAGATTAAGAGCTTTTAAGGATGCCAGGAGTGGGAAGAAAAATAACTTTCAGTGTTTGTCCAGAGCTGCTGCAGTTGTTTCTGCTGACAGCCTGACATCAAGCAGGGTCCTCTGTGCTGAAATGCATGTCCAGGCAGTTCTTAGGTGCAGTTGGGTTCTGGTGATTTTTCCTCAATAATCCAGGGTATGACTTAATTTCTGAAGGAACACGTTCAGGGCAAAGGGGCATTTAGGTTGAAAAGACTCATAGACGCAACTGCACCCCAAAAAAGAATTGTAAACGGGCTTCAGGTCTCGATGTAAGAATGGGGAGAGAAGACATGTTGTTAGGAACTGGTTTGGGTAAGAACAACATTGCATGCAAGCAGGTTGCTGGGAGATGTCCTGCTACTGCTTCCTTGTCAGGCTGGCCAAACTCAGCAGCACGGTGACTCCTTTGCAAGTCTGTTCTGGCTTTAGAAGAAAATGCCTTTCACTTTCTAGGTAGGGATGTACTTTCAAAACTCGGTCTCAGTTTGCTTTCGTTCAAAATGTACGTTAGAACTGGGAGCTAGGAAAGTGCATACGCAGTGACCAAGTTTGAATGTGTAGGAGGCTGTAGGTCCTAGCAAGGCTCTGTGGGGCTGGGATGTTTGTGAGCTGCTCTTTGCTCTTTCTTCTGAAAATGGAGCTGCATCCGCATGTGTTCTTCAGTCAAGCCTTGATGGAGGAATTGCTTGATTTTTCAGTTCACTTTTCTGAGCAATGGTTAATGTAGAAAAGCTATCTAGGTGTGTGGAAGAAGTTTCCCTTTCATTCCTACAGCATGGAAAGCTTCACCTTTTTTGAAGAGTGGGAAAAGCAAGGATGAGATTATCGTGGTGAAAGGTAGTTTTAAAAATATAAATCTGTCATATTGGAAAACAACTACGTAATTGTTCTCATGCACATACAGACCAGCATTGCATTTGGCAGGCCAGCAGATGCAACTGTCTTACTGTTCTGGAATAAAAAGGACAAATCTGGTGACAATCAGAAAGCTTTGTGTCCCACAAGATGACCAAAATACTGCAATGCTCCACGTTGTGCCAGACTACAATCTTTCTCTGTCTCATCTCCTCTCTCTGTTTGCTCCTTTGTGCATGGTTTTCTCTTATTTACTGTTATGCCAAATACCTTCATGATCACAGGTGCGAAGGGTTTTTTTGCTGCAGTTTCTATTCTTCCTTTTTCACTGCCAAATCCTGGGGCCCATATTTGAACAGCAGCACACACATTTATTTAGAAGACCTCCTTTTCATGGTCTGCCACCATTTGTTCAAAACATGGATTTGCCAGAAGATCCCTGCTGCCAGGGATACCAGAGGTGGCCTGTGCTTTGTTGGGGAGGGAAGGTTTCTTCGATACTCTGCTGTGAAATACATCTACCATCAAAATTCCCAGGGAGTATCTCCATAGGGTTTCACTGGAAAACACTTTTTCAGATTCAGCAAAATTGCCTGTGGTAGGTTTCACCCTGCTGATCACTGTTTTCAGAACAGTCTTTATTTCAATTGGCTGTAGCATAGAATCATAGAATATCTCAAGCTGGAAGAGACCCATAAGGATCATCAAGTCCAGCTCCTGTGATTGAAGGGTTTTCGCAAAGTCTTCCAATGGCTACCAAGAAGAGGGCTCTTATGTCCAAGTGGGATCTTATATCCCAGCAAGTGTTTCTCTCGTATCAGCAGCTACCAGCCCACCAGCCCACTGGCTGCCTTTCAGTTGAGTGAATAGCACAGTTCATCACCCAAACGAGAAGGAATTAACCTCCGAAGTGAGGTATGACAGAACCGAGCTACCCAGGGGCCGGAGTGCTCCAGCTGAGATGGGAGCTGCAACGATCCTGGCACTTGCTGTCGCAGGGAGGGGGCTGGTGGGAAAGGTATTCTTCATACCTCCACCTAGTTATTCTCATTTTTGCTGTGGAAGGTAATACTGGATTTTTGCATGGTTTGGTTTGGTTTTGTAGTGCTGTGCTTGCATGTGTTGTGAACTCTAGGCACTCAGCTAGTGTTCCCACTAGAGAATTGCCAAGATGAAAGTAAGCAAGAAAAAGTGTGTGATTAGGTATATGAAGACATGCAGTGTTTGCTTTGCTGGCTCCGAGGGAGCAGTGTCTTCTGCATTGGCTGGCAGCCCCAGGGACTCCTTGGCTTTAGTGCAGAGGGTCCCCCAGCTTTGAAAAGGGGAGTAGTTGAGATGTAATCAATATGGTCCTTTTACAGTAGGCACCATCCTCTCTCCCTAGCACCAGCTTCTGGTTCTTAAGTAATTGAAGTTTGAAGTGGGCTCAATGGAAGCTGCTTCTCTCCTTTCCCCTTTGGCTGAGTGCTTTTTTTCTCTTGTATTTGTCACTAGGAACAGTATCGGGGCACCATTTGTACCCATAAGACTGGGATGCAGAAATCGGATTACCCTATCAACTAGTTGTTTTCTCTTCCTTGCCAAGCACTCCCTCGTACCTGGGGCTTTCCAGCTTTCTAAATCTCCCTGTCACATACCCTTACTGTAGGTGCTAAGACATCTGCTTTTCCCCTCCTTCAAAGCCCATACTGTGATCATGAAGGTGGAAAGTGACTGTTTCTCTCTTGGTGGCTGGTGAAGGATCCTGTACATTCATCTTTTTCTTTTCTCTGGTTCCTTCTCTACAGTCTCCTTTCGGCCTGCTTCAGGAGTGAACTCATGGACTCAAGGAGAGACCCTCCCAAACAGACCGATGCCATCCTAAAACATTCCAGCCCCCCAAACCCATCAGTATATCCATAAACCAAGCTGCTGGGGTCGTTTTGCCCAGCTGGCAGGACTAGGAACAGTGGCAAATACTCAGCCTGATAGCAACAGAGTAAATAGCGAGAGTAATCTTCTGAAGGGACTCAAACTTTGCAAAAACAACAGACACTTCTACAGACCTCTTAGCTGTAGCCCATAGCATTGGGAGGTCAGGAACCACAATGTCGTCTGTCTTGGTGTAACGTTTTCTTCCTGTTTTTGTAACGTGTTGATACTCTTTCCTCTTACTTCTGTATTTGTGAAACTCAGCG